GTGAGAAGTCTGGTGTAATTCTTATACGTCTGCCTTAATATGTTACTTGACCTTTTTCCCTTACTGTTTTTAGTATTTTTTCTTTGTCTTGTGCATTTGATGTTTTGATTATTGTGTGATGGGAGGTATTTCTTTTCTGGTCTAGTCTATTTGGTGTTCTGTAGGCTTGTACGTTTATGGACATCTCTTTCACTAGGGTAGGGAAGTTTTCCTCTATAATTTTGTTGAAGATATTTACTGGCCCTTTAAGTTGGGAATCTTCACTCTCATCTATTCCTATTATCCTTAGGTTTGGTCTTCTCATTGTGTTCTGGATTTCCTGGATGTTTTGCATTAGGAGCTTTTTGCATTTTGCATTTTCTTTGACATTCGTGTAAATGTTTTCCATGGTATCTTCTGCATATGAGATCTCTCTTCTATCTCTTGTATTTCATTGGTGATGCTTGGGTCTATGACTCCTGATATCTTTCCTATGTTTTCTATCTCCAGGATAGTCTCCCTTTGAGATTTCCTTATTATTTCTACTTCCATTTTTAAATCCTGAATGGTTTGGTTTAATTCCTTCATTGTGTTTTCTTGCAGTTCTTTAAGGGACTTTTGTGTTTCCTCTTTAAGGGCTTCTACCTGTTTATCTGTGTTCCCCCGTACTTCTTTAAGGGAGTTACTTATGTCCTTCTCAAAATCCTCTATCATCAATATGAAAAGTGATTTTAAGTATGAATCCTGCTTCCCTGGTGTGATGGGGTGTCCAGGGCTTGTTATGGTGGGAGAACTGGGTTCTGATGATTCCAAGTAACTTTGGTTTCTGTTGCTTATATTCTTGCTTGCCTTTCACCATCTGGTTAACTCTAGTGTTACCTGCACTCACTGTGACTGACTGGAGTTTGTCTTTCCAGTTATCTTGTTTGTGTCAGAACTACTCAGAGTCCAGATGTCTCTGTGATCTTGTGATCCTATGCTCCTAGGTGGAAGAACTCCTGGGACTCAGGCCGCCTCTGGGATCCTGAAATCCTCCTGCTCTTAGTGCAGTGGTTCCTCTAGGATGGCTCAGGATATGGTGTCTCCACAGGAGCAGACCAGCTAGGTGTCTGCCCCAACCAAAAGTACCAGGCGAGGGGCAGAAGGGAAGTAGTATTCCGCAGGGGCAGGGTTTGGGTTGTTTATGGGTCTCAAGCGGCCCTGGCTCCCAGTTGTAACTCTGGGGTGTAGGGAGTGGAAGGGGGTTCTTACCTCTTCTCTGAGTGCAGTGGCTCCTCTAGGATGGCTCAGGATATGGTGTCTCCACAAGAGCACACCAACCAGGTGTCTGCCCCAGCCAAAGGTACCAGGTGAGGGGTGGAAGGGAAGTGGTATTCTGGAAGGGCGGGGTTTGGGTTGTTTATGGGTTCTGAGTGGCCCTGGCTCCCAGTTGTAACTCTGGGGCATAGAGGGTGGGAGGGGGTTCTTACCTGGTGCTCTGAGTGCAGTGGCTCCTCTAGGATGGCTCAGGATACGGTGTCTTCACAGGAGCAGACCAGCAACTTGTCTGCTCTAGCCAATGGGCAGTTTCATAAATCTTATGTTTGAACTTTGTTTTGGATTAATTGAAAAACCAATTCCTTTTAGCTGAGTAAGAGTATCAGATAAAGGCCAAGTTGAAGGCAAATCTTGTCCTCTCTTACTCTTAGAGCAATTCTTTTATTAACAGGCACAGCTATAATGCCATGGAGGGAAGCAGGCAAAATTTTAATTTCTCCAGCATAAACATTATTTATAACTCCTGACTCATAAGCTGTCTGTTGTGAATGTCTTTGAGTCTGAGGCTGACCCCTCCTCCCCAAGTAACAACCAAGACAATAAACAGATACCAGAAAACACTTTTCTAGGGATGGGTCAGGATGACCAAGACAAAAGGAATGAATATCACACAACCTTCTGCTGAGCCCACTCTGAACTTTGTCTTAACTTGTAAATGTTCTTAATCTGGGCCTATTTCCTGAATCCTGGCCCAATGATTATCCTTCCTGCAGTGAGGACAGATTGCATGGGAGTAATTCTGCTGTCTGTCAATGCCCCTATTTTTTGGATAGTCTTTCCTAAAATGACCTATGCCCCCTTACAACATTCCTTATCACCTCAATGCTGTGAAAGCATGGCTTGGACTGTAGTTAGCATTCTCATAAGCCAATTGTGTAACAAAAGGAATTCCTGCCTGGGGGGGGGTTTCCAAAATTTCTACCAGCCACTTTTAGCAGTCTATTCACAAATTCAAGGAACTGTTCATCAGGGCCTTGTTTGATATCAGATAAATTCCCACTGAGATCCCCTTTAGTACGTAATTGATACCAAGCATGGTGGGCAGCCATTGCAATCTGTGTGCACACTCCTGCAGGTAGCCTGACATGAAACATTACCTTCATATTGACGTTCTCCCAGAAGCATGTTAATATCCCAAACTGTATTACCTGCCTGAGCATTTATCATGGCAGTTCTCTTACTTGTTTCAAGCCATTCAGAGCTCCAAAGTAAGTAATCTCCTCCCAACAATGTAGCCTTACATATAGTTTTCCAATCTTGGAGGTTTAAATTTGCTTCTACCACAGTATCCAATAAAACTTGTATAAAGGGGGCAGCAGGTCTGTACTGTGCTACAGCTGTTTTTGACTCTTTTATTCATCTCTACCTGCTCGATCCTCTTCTCAACTATAAACATGGGTGAGTAAAAAAAATCCCGAGCTGCAAACTGCAGCCAATGGAACACAGGCAATTTAACTATATTTTAAAGTTTCTTTTGCAATATTAGAGTATAACCATAATTTTGGAAAACAAAACCAATTTTTGTTGGGCAGTGGTGGCGCATGCCTTTAATCCCAGCACTTGGGTGACAGAGGCAGGAGGATTTCTGAGTTCAAGGCCAGCCTGGTCTACAGAGTGAGTTCCAGGTCAGTCAGGGCTATTCAGAGAAACCTTGTCTCAAAAACAAACAAACAAACAAACAAACACCCCAATTTTTAACAATGTAAACAATCCGTTCTCTCTAAAATCCACACCAAGTGCATTACTTTCATGTTACAAAGTTTGGCTGCTAGTTCTTATATATGAATGCATGATAGCACAGCTTTTAATAGCTCATTAAAGAGACATTGTTTTAAATCCTATCTTTTATACATCTGGTTTCTGAATGACTCTAACCCTGAGTTACCAGTTTTAAGCCAAGTTCCTGTTATCAGTGTTATAAATTTTAATCATACCCAATAACTTATAAGCCAATAATCTATAGCCAAGACTTGCAGAACATATTTATACCTTCAAAACCAGTCAGGAACAAAAATGAAGTCGCTATACACATCTTATATATTTAGACCAAACAAAATTTTCTTACTTGTTCTAGCTGTAATTTTAAGAGAAAAGCATCTTGTCATTTGCTGAACCCAATAAACACTGTCAAAGAGATTTTTGTAGGGGAAAAAAAGCAGCCATCAGTCCCTTTATCATAGAAGCCAAAAGGCTGCTGACCCCTTTAAGAGCACCTTATGCAAAGAATCATCTCCAGGCAGGGCTTCTCCTGCTGTGTCTTACTCCCAGCCATGGTGTGTAGGGTATCAGCTTCTGTTGTGTAAATTGAGGCTGCCTTTTAAACAAGTTAAACTAAATCAATGGGTGGATAGCCAGCAGATCAAGTTTTAACCATTTTTTTCTTTTGAACATGAAACACAGAACAACAATCATTAAAACAACAAAACAAAAACAGACAATTGACACACATGGATAGAGTGGCACACCAAAGACAGACAATAGACAGAGAAACCAGAACTAAGGATTTCCTCAGTAGGAGGCAGAAAGCAGGATGTCTCCCGATTGCCTCCTGTTCCTAGAAGAGCTCTGGAATAGCTTATTTTTCCTTCTCTTTTGCTAACACAGCCCAGAGAGAGGACAACTGCTTTTCTGAAACACTTTTTCTCTCTCATATTCAAGGTCTGAGTTTTCATCTCCTTCTTAGGAGGTGTAGTGGCAGCTATTGATAGTTAGTTACTCTGTCTTCTTAACTTCCCCAATTCCTCCTAACCCTGCTCCTCTCCCCTAAGGCAGCTCTTAGACTTCGGACAAAGGCCTACGATTCTGATGGAAATTTCGCTGTCACCTCCTAGGTGAAGTCGGCATCAGGTCAACACCTATTCAGCCTAGTCTATATCCACTTAAACACACTTCCTGCAAACACAGCCTCCAAAACATAACTAGCACTAGCATCAATGCTGTTCATCGCTTACCAAGTGTGGGATAACTCTTACTTCTTCCATTTTCTGTGGTGCTCCACCCAAGACAGTGTTCCTCAGTGGGCCTCCTGTTTTCAGGTCCCTCGTTCAGGCGTCACCTGTAGCTATCAGCGGCCAAGGATGAAATGGGTTTACCTGAAAGGGAGGCTGGAAATGAAAATGAGACGGAGGGGGCGAGAGAAACATGGAGCCAAGACAAAGTTTTCTGATCAAGGCTCAAAGTTTAATATTCAGCTCTTGTATATACAGGGAAAGCCCACTGGAGCCCATCCTTTGTTTCAGGTGCAAAGCAGGCTCAGCAAACAGTCTCTTCTTCAAAGTTCGTGCAGGAAGTTGCAAGTGTAAACAAAGCAGCTGGATTTACCTAGGTGTTAAGGTCCTGTAGGAAGTTGCAAGTGTAAACAAGGTCTGTTCAGACTGCTCGAGGCTGGGAAGGGCACAATGTGGTTTCTCTCTTGTATGTGATCTCTTATGTCACTGCAGATGACTATGACTTGCAAATGCTTTACATCACTAATTACATTCATAAGGTTTTTCTCCTGTACATGTTCTTTTATAATACTGGAGACTATAAAGTTGTGAAAAGTCTTTACCACGTTGATTACATTCATGAAGTTTCTTTTCATTATGGGATCATTTATGTTTTTGAGACTAGAGGGACATGTAAAGGCTTTAGCACATTGATTGCATTCAAAGTTTCTCTCTAACGGGTTCTTTTACATTTTTGGAGACAAAAACTTTATGGAAATGCTTTTAACACAATGATTACGTTCATAAGGTTTCTCTCCAGTATGTATCCTTTTATAACATGGGAGACTACTGTTACATGAAAAGGCTTTACCACATTGATTTCATTCATAAGGTTTCTCTCCAGTATGTGTTCTTTTATGACTTTGGAGAAGACTGGGTCTTCCAAAGTCTTTCCCACATTGATTACATTCATAGGGTTTCTCTCCACTATGTGTTCTTTTATGATATTTGAGACTACTGTGACAGGAAAAGGCTTTACCACATTGATTACATTGATAAAATTTCTCTCCAGTATGTGTTCTTTTATGATACTGGAGATTACTGTATACTGCAAAGGCTTTACCACATTCATTACATTCATAAGGTTTCTCTCCAGTATGTATTCTTTTATGATACTGGAGACTACTATGATATGAAAAGGCCTTACCACATTGATTACATTCATAAGGTTTCTCTCCGGTATGGGTTCTTTTATGATTTTGGAGACTACTATGACATGAAAAGGATTTACCACATAGATTACATTCATAAGGTTTTTCTCCAGTATGTGTTCTTTTATGATATTGCAGATGACTGGGTCTTGCAAAGGCTTTACCACATTGATTACATTCATAGGGTTGCTCTCCAGTATGTATTCTTTTATGATATTGGAGAGTTTTCTCTTCTGAGTAGGTTTTACCACATTGATTACATTTATAGGGTTTCTCTTCAGTATGTGTACTTTTATGTCTTTGGAGAGTATTGGTTCTTGCAAAGGCCTTACCACATTGATTACATTCATAAGGTTTCTCTCCAGTATGTGTTCTTTTATGATTTTGGAGATGACTGGGTCTTGCAAAGGCTTTACCACATTGATTACATTCATAGGGTTTCTCTCCACTATGTGTTCTTTTATGACATTGGAGACTACTATGACATGAAAAGTCTTTACCACATTGATTACATTTATAGGGTTTCTCTCCACGATGTGCTCTTTTATGATATTGGAGACCACTGTGATATGAAAAGGCTTTACCACACTGATTACATTCATAACGTTGCTCTCCAGTATGTGTTCTTTTATGTCTTTGGAGATTACTGGGTATTGCAAAGGCTTTACCACATTCATTACATTCATAAGGTTTCTCTCCAGTATGTGTTCTTTTATGATATTGGAGACTACTGTGATATGAAAAGGCTTTACCACATTGATTACATTCATATGGTTTCTCTCCAGTATGTGTTCTTTTATGCCTTTGGAGATGACTGGGACATGAAAAGGCTTTACCACATTGATTACATTCATAGGGTTTCTCTCCACTATGACTTCTTTCATGCCTGCAACAATAATTGTCACATGTGAAAACTTTATCACATTCATTACCCTGATATTGTTTTATCAATATGAATTAATTTTGCAGTTGGTCTAATAATAAAGAATACTCAGATCGTAAGTTTTATCACTTTGGGTATTAATGGTGTTCTCTCACACTGTGGGTTGTTTTGCCTCTTTGAAAATATCTGTGATGGTAATAGCATTTAATACATGGCTCACATTTATAACATTCTTTTTCTATATGCGATTCTTTTTTTTTTCTTTTTTTTTTTTTCGAGACAAGGTTTCTCTGTGTAGCCCTGGCTGTCCTGGAACTCACTCTGTAAACCAGGCTGGCCTCAAACTCAGAAATCTGCCTGCCTCTGACTCCTAAGTCTATATGCGAGTTCTATAAGATGTATTTCACATGTCTGAAGAAATATGGAACAACTCACAGCATTAAAACACTGATTGCTTTCTTAGTTTTGCCTGTAGTGTGAATCACATCACAGGAGCACTATGAGCCAGGACAAACAGAAGAATTTCAAAGCTTCTAATACTCATAGAGATTTTATGCAGTGTGACTTGGGGATGTTCTTAGTAATGTCAGAAAACCAATTAATTGCAAATGTCTATCATATTCAGAAAGTTTGCCAAAGGCAGACTACCTATCTTCTCATTGTTCTGGACTAGAAAGAGGTATGTTGCTTCTTTCAATATCCCTATGCTCACATGGTTTTATCCTTTCTGACACTTGATATACCCATTAAAAGAAGAACAAATGAAAGGTTTCCATATTGAATTCACACCGTTTGATATTTTGTTCTTTGTGGTCATGTGGTATATGGATTAAAATTTCTCCACGATAACATTCTTCACTCTCATGAACTGACCGCTCAATAAACTTAGAAATGCCACTACAAGAATATGAGTTTCACCAAATGTACCAAGCACTATTTACTTATTAGAAGGTTTTGGATATATATTTACCATTATTCAATGTGCAACATCTAAATATTATGAGACTATACAGATTGTTAGTTCCATGCAAAGCTCTAATGGAGCTTCAAATCAAATAAAGGTATCTCTTAAGGCATTGTTTCCTTCTCTCTTAGAGGAATGCTTTGCAAACAAAAATCAGATAACTGACATTGAGGCACATGGTTTTATGAGAATATTATAATCATAGCTACACTTAAAGGACTGAAATTTACACTCTTGCTTTTCTTTAGAGCTTCAAGAACTTATTAAAATTTCCTCAGAGGCACATTTGTGTCAGCTTGTACATGAAAATTACCTTTCATGACTTCCAGAACTTTGACATTGTTCTTCAATATGATGGTCTTCCCAACTGTAACCTAAGACATAATACCAGAAAATGAATGATATGGTATTGGAAATTAGGCAAAATTCAAGTTACTGTGAATCTTCACAGCACTGAATCTGATTTATTCAGCTTAATCTTCTTTGTTCTCAACTGAAATAACAGAGGGTCATCAATAGCCAAGAATCATTTGTTCCTTTATTTTGAAAAGCAAAAGAAATTTCAGTTTTACCTATAGCAGTGAGGTTCCAGTAGGTTTCCTGCATCACATCTTTGTAGAGATTCTTCTGGGAAGGATCCAGCAAATTCCACTCTTCGGCAGTGAAGTTCACATGCACATCATCATAAGTCACTGTATCCTAAATATCCCGTACACGTGTACAACACAAAGCATTATACTGACATCACTATAAAGTAAATGCATGCATCCCAGACAATATAATCATATAATTCGGGTGCTTCTTCCACTTATTTCCTGACACAGAAGTTATAATACAATCACAATATCATTTTAGAAGGAATTTGAAATATAGGATTCACCTTATATTGCTTCTGAACTCTTTGAATAGGATATAACCTTGCAACACAAATGGCAATTGAGAGGGAGATTCAGGGGGAAACATCAACATTACTGAGCAAACATCTGAAAAACTGTAAGAAAAATTACTAACTACAGAAATGATGGAGAAGATAGGTGATTTGCTCATGTCTTTAATCCCAGAGGCAGAGGCAGGTGTATGTCATTGAATTCAATACCAGCATGGTCTATGCAATGAGCTCCAGGACAGCAAAAGTTATGTATCAAAACCTTTGCTCCCCTGCTAAGTTCAATGAAGGAAACAAAGATGATAGAGAGAACTCAAACAGTACTTTACTGAAGTTTCTACAAAGAATTATACATTCACTGCAGTTCTGTATTCATCTTGCAGAAACATGAAGAACCAGTTTAAAAAGCAATATTAATAAAATTTTACTAAAAGAGAATGATGTTTAATGGACAAATGGACAGATGACAATACTAGTAATATAAATGTTTATCATAAATAAGCAATAGAGGGCAGGAGAGATAGCTCAGGAGAGGATAGCTCTTGCTTGTCTTCCACATAATGGTGGTCAATTTCTAGTATTTACATGAGGGTCAACAAGTACCATTTACTTCAAGATCAGGAGTTCTGAAGCCATCTTCTGACAACAGTAAAGATGAGGCAAACATGATATTATATGATGTAATATTATGATATATTCATATCCATGCATACAGGCATAATACATTTACTTAAAAATTTCAGAACAAACACAAGAGTGAGGCAGAACATCTCAATTGGAATCCAATGACTCTGAAGCCTCAGATAGTATTGATGACATGAGCATAACCCATACTGAAAAGTAAAATATATCCTATGTATTTGACCAAATTTCAAAATTAAAGGTGTGGATGAAGAGCTGCACAAAAGCATGTGCTTATATTACAAAAACATGTCAGGTGGCTTATGTGGTTTCTATATCTACTAACAGGAAGGGCTTCACAGAGAAATTTTGTCTTGAAAAACAAAAGCAAAAAGACCAAAGTTGAAAATATAAAACACCAGGCTTGCAAAATAGCTTAGCAGTGAACAGCAAATATTTATAATGTATCTTATATGGTTTAGGGACAGAGACCAAATGGTGAATGTATGCAAGCGTGAGAAGAAAGCTGAAGGATCAGATTCAACCACAACACAATAGTCACACAGAACAAAATTTGGCCTGCCTAAAAGAGATGCAGGGGTAAAGCTGCAACAGAGACTGAGAGAATGGCCAATGAAACTTGTCCAATTGGAGACCCACTATATGGGCAATCTCCAATCCATGACATTATTAAGGATACTCTGTTATGCTTCAACACAGGAGCCTTACATAATTGTCCATTGTGAGGCTCCACCTAGCAGCTGACTGATCAGATGCAGAGAACCACAGTCAAACATTAAATGTACCTTGGTGACTCTTATGGAAGAGTTAGGGGAAGGATTGTAGTCCCTAAAGAGGATAGGAACTCCAGAGGAAGACCAATGGACTCAATCAACCTGGACCCTTTAGATACACAAGCTGGACTAAGGCCCCTGGCACATATGTAGCAGATGTGTAGCTCAGTCTTCATGAGGGTCCTCCAACAACTGCAGCAGGGACTGTACCTAAAGCTGCTGCCTATCTTTGGAATCTGCCCCCTTAACTGAGCTTCCATATCTGGCCTCAGTGGGAGAGGATGCACTTAATCCAGCAGAAACTTGATGCACCATGCTGTGGAGATACCCAGGGGCCCACACCTTCTCAAAGGAGAAACAGAAGAGTTTGGGGGGAGAGACTTTGTGAGAGCAGGGAACCTCCCATAGGGACAGTGATCAGGATAATAATGAATATATAAATTATTCTAGAAACAAAAGGAGAGAGAGAGAGAGAGAGAGAGAGAGAGAGAGGGAAAGAAAGAAAGAAAGAAAGAAAAAGAAAGAAAGAAAGAAAAAGAAAGATGTTGAGTATATACCCTCTCCCCCTAAAGGAATCTGGAAAGGCTTCTACAAGAGCTTCCAAAAGCTCGACAAAGAAAGCCAGACAGGACAGAAAAGTATTCAGAGACATCATCCTATGTAGAAACTTTTTGTTTCAATCAACTGCATTCTAACCCTGAACACTATAGGCTCATGTTCATCCTGTGATGAAAATGCATTCAGTCTTCAGTCATCCTAATAGTCTGTAGGAGCTCACACACTGTACAATGTGTAAAGTCTCTTCTGACACTCAAGGCAATATCTTGAAAGCCTCATCTTGTAAAATCAGAAAGCAAGTTATATCTTTCTAACATACAATGGCCCAGAATACCCCTTCCAATTCCAATTGATAGGAATGTGCACTTAGGGACAGAAGATTGGACCAAGGCAAGAAACACAAGAGGGCAAACACCATATCCTATAACTTTGTCTCAGACACATTGGACTTCACTTTCTAAAGGGTTAGATGGCTCTATTTCTGTAACTTCTCATACACCTCTCAGTTTGGGTACTTCTCCCTGTATGCATGTATCATCTCAACAAGTTGTGGTCTCAAAATGCAACTCAAGCATCATCCTTACAACTTCAATGCTATGTGAACTGTCACTGATTCCTCACTGAGGTACTGACTCTGCCAAAAGATGGCTGGAATGGTGCTAAACTGAAACCACAGAGGAAGAATCCATGACCTTGAATTTTCCATTTTTCAGTTTCAAGAAGCAGCACAATATAGATGATCCTGCCAAGTTTCTCTTCTAAGATGAAGGACACTGCATCTCTTGGACAACAGTTGCAGCAGGTCTTATTTAAAGTTTTTTCCTGGGACTAGGAAACACTTTTCCTACTCCTTCCATTAATTTAAGTCTTAGCATGGGGAAGTGTTACACTTAGGGTACCTTAGTCATATACTCACAAAGGCATGTGCCCCACTAAGTTCATAGCCATTTTATTTATAACAGCTAGAACTAGAAAGAATCCAAATATTTCTAAACCAAAATATACATACAGAAAATATGACTCATTTACAAAATGGAATACTATTCATTTATAAAAACAAGGACATCACGAATTTTGCAGGAAAATGAATACAACTAGAAACTACCATCCTGAGTGAGATAACCCAGACCCAAAATGACATGCATGAATGTACTCACTTCTAAGTGAATATTAACCATAAAGTACAGGATATTAACGCTACACTCCATAGGCCCAAAGAAGCTAAATAAGAAGGAAAGCCCAAATGAGAAAGGTTGAATCTGACAGAGAAGGAGAAATAAAACAGTCATAGGAGGCAGATGGAAGAGAGAGGACTGGATGGGAGAGCAGATAAGAAGGGGAAAGGAGGGCCAGGAAGAGGTGTGGTGAGAGACAAGAGATGGCCAGAAGGTGAGGAATATGAATCAAAATCTGTAGTTGGCGAGAGGGGAAAGGTGGGGGCATTTTTAGGATGTGGCAGAGACCATGAATGGGAGAGCACCGAGGAGTCTATAGGGGTGATTTTAGCTGAGATGTATAGCACTGAGATATGAACCCTGAGCCAGGCAAGACCCCAGTGGAGAGTTAAGGACACAAACCAAACCAAAAGCCTTTCCAACCAAAATTGACCTGTCTGCAAGAAATGCAGGCACAAAGATGGAGCAGAAACTGAGAGATTGGCCAAACGATACACTGCCCAACTTGAGACCCATCCTATGGGCAAGCACCAATCCCTGACATTAGTTAAAATGCTCTGTTATACTTGCAGACAGTAGTTTATAATTGTCCTCTGGGAGTCTCCATCCAGCACCTGACTGAAACAGATGCAGAGACCCACAGTCTAATGTTGAAAAGGGAGTCTTTTGGAAGACTTGGGGAAATGATTGAGGGCCTCTGAAGGAAAAGGAAGTGCATAAGAAGACCATCAGAGTTAAATAACCTGGACCCTAGGAGACACTCAGAGACTGAGTCACCTACCAAAGAGTATACACAGGATGGACAGAGGTCCCCAGCATATATGGACTACACGTGCAACTCAGTCTTCACGTGGGTTCCCCAACAACTCGAGTGGGGGATGTCCCATAAGGTGTTGCCTGTCTGTCCAATCTATTCCCCATACTTGGCTGGCTTGCCTGGCCTCAGTAGGAGAGGATGTGCTTAACCCTGCAGAGACTAGATTTGTCATGACTGAGGGATACTCAAGTGGTCCCCACCCTCCCTGGGGAGAAAAAAGGAGTCATGGATAAGGTACTATGGAAGATGGAATAGGGAGTGGGTAGAAACTGACATATAACTGTATATATAAATAAATTAGAAAAGTGAATACTACATAGAAATAAAATAAAAATATACAAATCAGCATATTTTTTGTAAATTTCGTCCTACTCAATATCTCAGGGCATAAGCCAAGTAAGGAAGATTTTGGCAGAAATATCACACAAATGACCTCTAGCTGAACTTTTCACAGAGTCTATTTTCCACTGAAATAGCATGACCTCAACTACCTTTGGCTGCACTACTGTCAACACCACAATCTTCCATGTCCTGTGAGAACAACCGGTTAAGATCCATGTACAGTTTTCTATGAGTTTTGCCATATCAATTTCTGATATTTTCCACATTCCTTCAAAAGAGAACATAGATTCTGTCTAGCAGCATAATCATATTTTGATACCATTTTGTTGTTGTTCTAACTTGCTACTCTGCTGCTGTGATTGAATCCTCTGAGCAAAAGCATCTCAGGTAATAAATGGTTGTTGTACATGGTTCTGTCAGATCACAGTCCATCATTTTGGGATCTTAGATTAGTATGTGGGACCCGCCTGAGAGCCATCTGTGGGAAAGCCTCTGGGTCTCTGCTGCTGCCCACTCCTGCAGGCTGCCTCCACTGCTGTCCTGGGAGACTCACAACTGCCGTGGAGCCCCCCCATCGTGCGAGTTTTTCCCACAGCTGGTGCCTAATGTGGGGCACAGACACCCACGAACTTCAAGAACCGGGCTGCCCCAGTCTGCTACAGGTGAACACTTCCCAAGGCGTGGTGCCAGAGCTGCCTGTCTCTCAGCGCCAAGCCGCCAGCTGTGCTTGTGTGCCCCATCTCTATTTTGCTCTGCCTCCCCCACCCAGTGGCATCTGGGGGCTCCAAATAGAGACATCAGCTTCTGAATCCATGTGCAAGCTCTGCCCTGCCTTGCGGAACCCAAAGCTGAGTGAGGACACCCCCTGCTGGGTGGGGCCTGGTGCGCCCATCAGCTAAACCTGCACGCACTTCTGCTTCTCTCCGGAGTGCCTGCGAAGAACAGAAGACATGCAGAGACTCACAACTCAACACAAGAAAGAACTCCATGCCCACGCGTACCCCAGTGAGGCGCACGTGCCATCATCTTTCCCCTGCTAGTGGTGGACAATGAGTACAGAGCCAGCTCCAAGAGTGCCCCCTGGTGGCACCTGTGAAAACTGTAACACCTCTCTCTGTCTCCCCCCACCCCTCTCATTCCTGGCTAAAGTCTCTCTCTGTTCCCCTCCCCTCTCCTCTCCATGTGTTCTCCAGCTCAAGGGCAAGATGGTGGCGACTCCACTCTGCCCATCCCTGCCATGGTCTTCGTTCTAAGACTTTTCCTTGAGTGAGGAACTCTTTCTCACAGCTGAGACTACTGTCTCTCTCCCAAGAGCTGCCTGCTCCAACCCAGCTCCCAGGTGTCTCCTATGACTTAGTCTTTTACACAAAATCTCACTGCTTCTGACTCTCCTAACAAGCCCCTATGTTTCTTGCTTTGAGCTTTTCCTCAAGGTTGGCCTATCCTCTTTTTCTCTACATTTAAAATTTATGGAAAAGGAAAAAGAAGAACAGGGAATGCAGGGGGCCTCTCTGCTGAAACATCCAGCCACCACATGGTGGAACAGCAACCGCATGGCATAGCAAGCCCCTCCCCCCACTGCTCCTAAACCCTCCATTAATGCTTTTCTCCCCAACAGGAATACCTGCAACAATGTTTATGCTTTTCCATCATTAAAGCCTTTTCTCCCTAACAGGAATTTTTTTTTTACATTCAACAAAGAATTTTAATTATTCACAAAACAATATTACAATATTTTATAAAAATATTAAGTTTTAGGCTACCATTATTCATTTAAAAAAGTGTTTGTGCTAGAAGGCTGCTTTTGCCAACTTTCTTTTTTGGTAAGGGTGTTAAAATTCCATGTTAAGACAATACAGATGAAAGCTGTTGAAAAAAAAAATCTTCAAATGTACAAAACTGTTTCTTTCTCTTGATAATTAAAAAAAAACATAACAATTTAGACTGAAAACACATTAAGTTAGTGTTGCATCCTTACTATACAACTTTTATTATAAGGAACTGCTCCATTTAGTTAAAATCTAAAGAATGTCATCAAATTTTTCTGATCAGCATTAGAACATCACAATTTTATTACCCTTTGCAGAATGCTTAGATAAACTCTAATACCACAGTTAACATGAAGCCCTTTAAAACATTCATGTCACAGACTGTAGACAACAGGGCAATTGGACCCAGTCTTCTCAGGAGACCCTCTTGGCAGAGGACTCAGTACTGAATAGGTTAAGTAAAAGAAAAACAAATACAACTTTTTAGTACCAGAACTTTTGCCAACTTGCATGAAGTTCACTTGTCACATTTAGAAAGGTTTAAATTTGAACATGTTTACCATGGTACACATTTTTACATTTACTGATGGTAGTTTAAAATTATATTCTGAAAATAAAAAGAACTTGATATAATGCCTTAGTGTAACTATAAAATAAAGCATTTTAAAACATAAATATTAGACTTTTATTTCATTTAGCAGACTCCATTTTTCTCTTGCTATATTACTCAGTTCAAATTAATATTTCATAATTTCTGAATTAGAAAAACTCTCATTTTAAATGTTTTACTTCTGCACTTTAAATGGTCAAAATTTCCCCCCTTTATATTACAGTTACTCAGAGTAAGTATTCTTCCTCAAATTAATTATATTATAAATGGAAAATATGAAGACCATCAAATATATTTGAAATGTAAGTAAAGCTTCAAACAGGGATTTGAAACTTGGCGTTCTAAAATTTTCTGTATAAAAGCTGGGCCACTGAAATTAGGGTAAAGCCTTATCTTCACTATTTTGAGGTAAAACTTATTTAGTGTATACGAGAAGGTTAGTTTTATAATCATACTTTATAACTTTTAAAGCCTAAGAAAACAGCTAACGAGGAGCCCTGAGTGCCAGAAAGCCATGTTGTCACTCCACGAGACCAGCATTAAACACTCCGCCCAATACCTGTAGAGCTTTCACACTTCTCCTCTCATATTTCTTTAAATACATTTTCTTCTCTCCTATTCTATACTCAATACAAGCAAAGTGCATTCAAGTCCCTGATCTAGTGATGTTTTTTCTATTTGTGGAGCCCGTAACCATAACAACACACGAGCAACATCTCAGAGTACTCCATTTATTTTTTAAAAATTGACTGCCTGGCCGGGCGGTGATGGTCCACGCCTTTAATCCCAGCACTTGGGAGGCAGAGACAGGCGGATTTCTGAGTTCAAGGCCAGCCTGGTCTACAGAGTGAGTTCCAGGACAACCAGGACTACACAGAGAAACCCTGTCTCGAAAAACAAAACAAAAAGAACAACAACAACAACAAAATTAACTGCCTGAATATTATTAGGTTTTTATTTTTATGCTATACAAATATTAAAAGTTTTTTCCCTTGGACTGGATAGAATAATCTCAATTGTATATAGCCTTAAAAAATCAATACATCCTTGTACAAGAATAATCAACTTTCTGGTGACCTTCATTTTCCAAAGCTGAATAACTCAAGACATGACTGATGAACAACTTGGTTCCCTGCTCTCCAGTGCTCTGGACAAAGTGCATGCTATTAAACAGGGAACAAACAAAACAAAAAAACCTTTGAAAAAAAAATCTAGAAAAATTTAAAAACTGGAATGGAATTATTTGGTCCCATGAAGCTCTTTGATTTTAGATTTTACTGTGGTGTAACAGCCAAGTTTTGTACATAACAATAAGTAGTTTTCTCTTGGCAATTCTGAGTTTGGGGAAGAAAAGGCAATGACTAGTAAGCAGCAGTTCTTTGCTCCTTCTTACCATGGTATCACCCACAGTCAATACCAAGCTCTACTTTCTTTCTCTGGACCCTGAAGTCAGTTGTAAGATGCAGCATTGGTACTTTAGAGTCTAACAAAAAAAAAGTGGTTTTGAGGAACCATATCTGGAATTCCATTTTACCGTAAGAAACATGCAGAGTGAAGAATATCTTCTCATCCTGTGCAGGAAGAACTCACACAAGGTCTTTATGTTTTGGCAGATCTGTGCACACAGGCTACTTGGATTACAAATTTTTTCCTGGTTGGTACTGCGGCTCTGCAGCAGTGAAGTAGTCTTCCAAGAAGGACTGAATACATTCAAAGGTTGGTCTTTCATCAGGATCCTTCTTCCAGCAAAGATTCATCAATTCATGGAGGGACTCTGGACAGCCCTGAGGGCAAGGCATTCTGTACCATCGCTCTACTTGCTCCAGCACTTCACGGTTTACCATACCTGGATATGGCACTTTTCCTTTTGTTACCAGCTCTGTCTGTAGAATTCCAAATGACCACACATCTGACTTTATCGTAAATCGACCATACAGCGCAGCCTCAGGAGCTGTCCATTTGATTGGAAACTTTGCATTTTGTCTTGCTGTGTATTCACTGTCTTCAATTAATCTTGCTAAGCCAAAATCTGCTATTTTGCATACAAGATTTTCTCCTACAAGAATATTAGCAGCTTGGAGATCTTGGTGAATATAGTTCATTCTTTCAATATATGCCATGCCATCAGCAATCTGAGCAGCCATATCAACCAGCTGTGGGAGCTTCAAATACTTTCCATCTCCTTCTTTAAGGAAATCTAACAAGCTCCCTTTTGACATACACTCAGTGACAATATAAATTGGCTCTTCAGAAACAACTGCATAGAGTGGAACAAGTTTATCTTGTCTTAATTTTTTCATTATCTGAGCTTCTTGAAGGAATGCTTCTGGCATCATTGTACCTGAGCTTCTTGAAGGAATGCTTCTGGCATCATTGTACCTGGCTTTAGTGTTTTGATTGCTACTTTTGTAGTTCCATTCCATGTTCCCATCCACACGTCACCAAAGCATCCTTGACCTAGTTTAACCTCTAGTCACAACGATTCTCGAGGGATTTCCCAAGCATCTTTTGCTAGACCTTGAGTCTGGGGTTTCACAGTTGGACACACAGTTGTTAACTTGTGGCATAATCCATCAGCATGTTCTGTGTAATGCTTTACCAGTTTCTACAGTGTATCAAACTGAGCTCTGGTTGTGATGTAGTATCCACCATTGTCAAGTTTTCTAATTTTGTAATGCTTCACACTGTCACCCCTTACCTCATCCCAATCACGAATTGAGAGGGAATAAGCACCTGGGGAGAAGAGGATGACCACATTCATTCCAGCTTCCTCCCACTGTGGCTGAGGTGGTCTATGCACATATTAATAGATTAGTCATACCTTTAGTAGTTTCACTTTCTCTTACTAAGAATATACCTCGATGATTCCCAGGATTCAGAAGTAATC